ATTAAGATGTGTGTTGTAGCATTATTTATTATATCAAGATTTAAAAATAATACATGCATAGCCACAAAGGAATAATTAAATATGACCAACTAACCAAACACTGTGCGGACACTAAAACTATCGACAAATTATTTTAATGTTGTGTTTCACACTATTAAATGGATTTATATAATAATGTCGATAAAAGTAGAATTTAATGTATTCATATACACATGACCTCAACTATAAGAATGTAGGCCTTCCCAGATAAAAGACAACCCATTCACTTAGTAATAATGGTTATTGCTGGGTGATAGATTGATAAGTAATTTTGCATTTCTTCCTAATACTAGTTTATATTTTCCAAAGTTTACTTCTTGAGGATGCATGACTTTTTAACAGGCAAGCATGTATTTATATTTGCTTTATTTTCATTATTTGAAAAATGGAGAGAGAAGATGACATTTGCCTGCTAATGTAATGGTGGTCATCAAATGAGAAACACATTAGCATATGGAGACAACACAGAGTAGATTTTATTTCTTTGGTTCTAAAGAAAGCAAATATGGAGTGATTTAGAATGCGAAGTTTTAATTTTTCCCTGCAAGTTATGCTTCATAGAAAATTATAATATTTTGAGAGTCTGTGAGGTAATAAAAAAAACCAAGACCTTTGCATCTTTGCATAAGACAGTGATGACAGCACAGAGGTTTACATGATAGCATTCAAGGTAGGCATGGAGAAAAAAAGCAGATTACAAGACCGTAGACAAAATTCTTAACCTCATGTGGGTAAATTTACACTCATATGTATAAACACAATGCACCACGCACATACAAACTACATAGCATATGAAAAACACAAGAACACACACACACACACACACACACACACAGAGAGAAATATCAGTATCTACAGACCCATAAAGTTTTACTTCCGTGGTTTATTGCTAAGACCTAAGCTACTTGCCTTTGCCATTGTCCCATTTAAAAGAATGGGAGACATTCTAAATGCCCACATTGAAAAGAATACGTTTTCCTAAGTATGCCCCAGTAAAATAAAGTGATGTTCCAACCCTAGGTACCTACAGAGTATGTTTGCTCCCATTTTAAGCTTTACATTATGGATTCCTCGTTCTTTGTGCAATAAAATCCATACCTAGGTCTGCATAGTTAGACTTGAAAAATTGCTTGCGTCCACAAAAGTACAGCTCGAAGTCAGTTTCGTTCGACCTGCGCAAAGTATATCCATTTTCAAGAGCAGCAAAAGCATCACAGGTGTAACGGTAAGTGATGAAACCATAGCTGTCTCTGCAATGGACAAGGAGAAATTCAGACTGTTTAAGGAGCATTATCATACAGGCCTGTAACCCTTTCTACTTTGAGAGACTTCACTGGTGCCAATGTCTGAGCCACTGCATCCATTTATCAGTGTGATTGTCCTGTCAGGCAGCTAAATACTTATTTCTGGGACAGGAAATCTCAACTAGAAAGATTAATAAATAGGGATGAAAGAAAATAAATAAGGTTCTGAACTCAACATGTCATCTGTCACAGTACTTACATTGGCAACTCCCATCCTAGGAATCTTAGGGCCATAATTTTTTACATACGTCAGCTTCTAAACAAGAAATAATCTTGAAGATTCTCACCCATCATCCCGCAGATTTACTGTGCACTCCTCAATTTCACCAAAAACTTCAAAGCGGTCCCTCAGTTCCGTCCGTGTGGTGTCAGGTCTGATTTTACCGACGTAAATCACACGGCGCTCTTCCTAGGGGACAGGAAGGGAGAGATTTCTGCTAGTTCTGGCGATAGGGAAGGTGTTATCCTAGAAGTATCCAGAAATGTACAAGCATGCATAAGTGGAACTCACTGTATACCACACCCAGGGAGAAATCTACCCCCAACTACATCTGAATCTATTGCTTCTGCATTGATCTCTTCATTCTTACCTACATATTCTCTGAGCCTCTACTTTTTTCTACTTTTCCTAACCAATTTGTGCTCCCTTCACAGGAACTTTTATGTTAAAAGGGTGTGCAATGTATTTTAACTAACAGATATAAATATTTGAATACTTATGACTTGATTACTAATCTTCAAATATGATTTGACACTGACCTGGTATCCAAAGCTATTTAACGTCTCATTGATGCACAATGCCAATTGGAATACTCCAATTTTGACATCCATAAAAGAGAGGGTCTTAAATGCCAGTGTGTATGGAAAGTACTCTGTGTGCTTTTTTAAAATGGACATTATTGGAGTTTATTCTAGCTGCATACTCAGAAAAGAAGTGCAAGACAAGGTTCAACAGTCTTCATTTTTAACAAGCACACCCCAGTGATTTGACACAGGTGGTCTGAAGACAATAATTTGAGAAACGTAGTCTTAAACTATAGGCCATTTTAAGCCATGGGTCTCTGAAGAATAAGAGCTAAATAGAAGAAGCTATTCTAGATTTTACTTTGCCAATAGACCTACTATTATTTTAGAAACAGAGTAAAAGGGTGTGGCCTAATTTTCACAAGTGAAGTCAATGTCATCATAATCTGAAAATTGTCAGCAATTTATAACTTAAAAAATATGAGAAGACTATACTGTAACCAAGGACACATTTTTTAAAAATCAGATGTGCATTCTTAGTGTATGAAGCAGTCTTTTTTAAAAATAAAACTTATTTTTAAAGAGGGTACAAATTAGAATTAAAACATAAAAAAATTTACAAGTAATACAAAATTTCACTTAACAAACTAATATGAATTTCACAATATTTGTTGTAATATATAGTGTTGTCTTCCAACCAGTTGTTCATATTACCAGATATATGCATGTAAAATTGGAAGAAAGGAAAATGAAAAGATGTTAAGAAATTCAGAAGAGAAAAAGTACAAACAATTGAAAAAAAGATACAAAACAAATTACAGCATTAACTGTTCCTTTCCATGGACCAGTGGAAAGGCACAGTACAGTTGTCCAAACCATCCCACTTACATACACAGATAAAGCTCTTTCCCCCACTCCCTCTCCTGTCCTTCTCCTCAACTCAGTAACTTTCCCTTTTAATCAGTTCATTCCCTTTTCCCAGTATCTATTATACCCTTCAGATTCCATTATTCTCTTTCAGGTTCTCACACTAAGGAGACAATATGATATTTGCACATGCAAGTCTGATATAGATATAGATATAGATATAGATATAGACATAGACATAGATATAGATATATATTTAGGAAGACAAGGCAGAAGGGGAGAAAGAGTCTCAAAACTCAGAAAAGATTTTATAAGAAAACAAGGAGTTAATGTAAAGAATGTGCTTATTGACTTGTGGACTCAGGATAAATAAGGATAAAATGATCTTGAGTTTACTGAGACTCAGGTTAGACTGACACAAAAATAAGAACAAGCCTGAGGTGAAGATTCATCCTGCCCAACAGTGTTGTCTGGATTTATTGAGATTTCCCCAATAAATGTGTTCTAAAAATTAATTTAGGCTTAATGCAAAAACATGTTCTACAGTATTTATTGAATGTCCTCTTCTTGCATGTGCCCAGGATTAGCCAAAAGTGAGCACTCGGTATACATTTCTGACATGAAACTGAGCAATTCACAGACTGTTCAACTTCCTACATGTGGGTGCCAACATCCCTGTCTCTGATTCTGTGACAGGAAGAAGATCTGAGAGGAACAGACAGTCACTCAACTCAGCCCCTTTGGCCGGTTCTCACACAGGTACCACAAACTGGACCAAACCAGACTCTCCAGCTTCACCTTTCCCTTCCTTCTCCTCTCCCCGTAGCCAGTCACTGTGTTCATTTGGCTTTCACCTCCTAATTGATCTTTACCCAGCACCTTCTTGCCTGTCCTATAGCAAGCTGCCAGCCTCTTTTTGGACCAGGATAACAGTCTTGTAGCTCAACTCCCTGTGTCCATGATTTGCCTCCCGTAACTTATTCTTTCACTGCAGATGGAAGAGTCTTTGCTGAAGAAACAGGAATCTGATTATACCGATTATCATCTAAAGCATTTCAATGACTTCTTGCACATTTTCAAAAACTACATCCATCATGAGCAAGACTTACTGGGTGCACCCCACATGGTTTGGATCTGAATGCTTTGGAGACTTTTTTCTCCCATCTCCCAGTCTTTTTTTTTTTTTTTTTTTTTTTTTTTTTTTTTTTTTTTTCACTCTACTTTTGCAGCCACTTTGGGCTTTAATCAATGCTCAGTAAATGCTCTGTTCCTGGGCCAGTGAGATAGTTCAGTGGGCTAAGTACCTGCATAGGCAAGTGTAGGGCCCAAGGTTTGATCACTACATAAAGCACTGGCCCCACCCTCCAGACATATTGAGCTGGCCATTGAGTCTGGGTGTGGTGGTGCACACCTGTAATCCCTGCACTGGGGCAGCTGAAAAGAGGAGGACACTACAAGTTTGAGCTGTGTAATAAGACCCTTGTACCAAATACATAAAAAATAAGTAAAAATAAATGAATATTCTGCTCTAAGGTTTTCTATGGCCTTTGTACAAGCTGTTCCTTTGCTATCTGGAAGAGCCTGCCACCACTGTATCCCCAAATTCCTCAGTGCACCTCTAGTATTACATTAAGCTCAGCAATCCTTTCATTTCTGAGACTTGAGATGAAGTCAGGCTTCCTATTAGCTGCTCCTAAAGAAAACTATTTGTTTTTGAAGTTCTGTGCCTAACTGTAATTAAGTAGTTAATACTTTCTTTATCTTTCTATGCGTGCCTGGCTAGTACAATAAAAGCTTCATGAAAGTGGAGACTGTGTCTTGCCCTTGCACTATTCTATTTTAAGGAAATCAGAAACATAACAGAATCTCAATGAGTATTTGCTATAAAATCAATGAAGTGCTAATCAATTCATCATTTTTGACATTTTCTTGTCTCTCTCATTACATCATGGATGTCAAAGAGTGACCCTAATTCCCTGAGCTGCTGTAGAGCAAAAGAAAAGGGAAGTTGGGGTCTGTACATTAACATAGGAAAACTCTTCTGCAGGTTCCTTCCTCAGGTAGCTCAGCTGAGTGACTTAACAAAGGGAATTTAGATGTCAAAGCACGAGAAGTGCAGAGCAGCTGCCTGCTTTCAGGACCTCACTCACAAAGGTCACTTCTAGAAATCCGGAAGCACACTCCTAAAGCAGGTAGAGAAGCAGCTCCTCTGACAATAGCCACAGAGCCCACACACTGGACCAGATAAATTAGTGTGTACCGATCCAGCTGCCTGATCCACTTCCATGTAGACTGTTTGCCTCCCTTGTGGAGGGAGATTGTGCTATTCCAGAGCACCCACACATTGTGGCAGCTGATAAATAGAACCGAAAGGTGAGGCGCATACTAGAGCAGGACTGTGTGCATTAGCAAGGGAATCACCCATTCCACTTACACATCCTGATTTAGCCAAATAGCCAGAAGTGATGGGACTGTGATCTAAGCTTAAACTTCCTGGCACTTGCTTGATTGATGGTATGGATTTTTTATTTTAATGAGGCTCATAGGAAAGTTACTACTGTAGAGAGGGAAAGGAGTGGAAAATGCAGAAGAGAAAGAAATTGAACCACAGCAAAGAAATTGCTCAGCTGTCATTATGGGAGCACATACAACCTATGTACTCAAGGAAATTTGGAATTAAAGCTAAAATTGACCATATGCACACCCATATGCAGACATACTGGGACAATTGCTGAACAGCAGTGGCTTTATACAAAGTTGTATGCAACAATGATCCCACAGAAGAGATAAACTGGAGAACAAATACTGATACACCATGCAGTAAAAAGAAAATGCAGCAGAGAGAGAGAGAGAGAGAGAGAGAGAGAGAGAGAGAGAGAGAGAGAAGAAATCAAAGGGTTGTCTTACAACTGCTTAAATTATCGTTCAGTCCACCATCTCTTTTATAAAGCACAGGAATTGGGCCATGTCTCATTACCTTACAAAGAACAGAGATTGAATGCATGATGAAATTCTCATTTGAGAAAATCATTGAAGTGCTTTGTTTTCCAGGAGCTAAAAATGAAAACAGAAGGCATCTGAAAGTCTAGAAGGCGAAGACAAAAATCTTTCCAAGATTGGCCAAGATGTCTAGCAAAGAACCAATTCTTTTTAACATGTTGCAGTTACATTAGACAGATGAATAGATTTCATATCTTTAAAAAACCTTAACATTTGCGGCCAATTTTTCAAGACATTAATTTCTAAACAGGAGATGAAAGGAAAAGAAATCAAAATGCTTAATAATATTGCCAACTTCTTAAATGCTGCAAGGAACTCGAAACCTTTGGAAAAGGCTCCTTGAAAAATGATTTTTAGACCAGTTTTCACGATTGAGGGGGATGGAACATTCATCAAATAACTTTTAGCTTCAATTTTCACAAAAGCTAGTTTGCTGATGGGTTAGGTAATAAAATGGAAGATTTATGTAGCATTAACAGCTATAGTAAATCCTCATTATACCAAAACACAGGAGATAAATAAGGAAAAAATAGTGAATTAACTAATTTTGCATTACCAAAATCTTTATCAAAAAGAGCATAGAGCCTCCAGTTAGCTGGGGAAAACAAACAATGGTTGTTTTTCATCAAATAATAAGCTACTTTTGGCAAAAGGGTTTGACTAAGAAAAGACAGAAAACAGTAGGGAGATTAACATTTAATGAACTTTATATAGGCCAAGTACTATATTTGATAACTTTTAGTGGATTATCTCACTAAAATGTCCTATAATGCTTTGTACCAACAGGGAAGAATTTGG